AGTGGCTGGGGAGAGGGAGGTCTGGGCCTCCCTTCTGAAGCTGCTGCCCCCGCGACCCGACCCCGGATAGGCGGAAGAAAATGGAAAATGGATGGATGGATGGATGTTGTTTTTTACACTACGTAAATTTCGGAAATTTTGTAAACTGCATCAAGGACTAATTATTTTATGAAGCCAGAGGAAGACATAAAGAAAAAATTGCGACGGTTTAGATAGAGGAGGTGGGTAGCAATGTAACAACTTCACCTATAAGCCTGACAGAGAGCCGCCTGTGTCTCCACGCTGTCTCCTTCATGCACAAAAATCACCCAGTCTCCCTCCATGAGTTCTTGCACTATCTTTATAGGTTTTGCTGGAACCGTTGTAAAGATGGCTGTATTTTCTAACAGCCTCGACCAGCAGATCCTCAGCAGAGCCGTGTAGTGGACCCGCTTTCCCGCAAAAAAAACAACAAAAAAACACACCTACGAGGTTCTGCCCAATCACACAACAGCTGCCTGACTGCTGGCCACGAGAGATGACCTCATGGGTCTAGATTTGCCAACAGAGTCTCGTCACTCGTGGTCGGAGGCTGAAAAATTGCTCTTTCCTGTGAACACTGCGTTCACGCTGTGCCAGGGACCCAGAGGACTTTCCCATCAAACCCTCCCCGTGAGTTCCAGAGTTGACATCTTTATCCATCAGGGACATTGTCTTTATTAACACTAACTTTGTTTTACTTCCCTTACAAGGGGCTTACTCGATTCAAAACATGGTCTTTTCTGAATATAGGTCTAGTTGTTTGTTTTTATTTTATTTTTGAGGGGATTTGTCATGTCCTGGATGACTGAGAATCCACATCAGCATACCAACATCTCTCAGCATCTGACAGGAGCTCTTGTTTAAGGTTGTAGTTCTGGAGAAAAAAGGCTGAGGGTGTCTGGCACCACAACAGACACGACTCAGCCTCTGCCGCCGAAGATTGTCTGCAGACGCAGCATGAAGACACAAATGCGGCCTGTTTTTCCTCCGTGCCCTCAGAAATAGATTCCATACGGCTCTTGGGTAAGCCCTGCCAATAGATATTACCAGGCTTTTTGTCAGACTGGATTTTTATATAAATCCATGCGGGATTGATTCTTCAGGCTCCAACGTTTAGATTTCCTCCTGCAGAGCATTTATTGGACTTTTTTTTTTACCCCGTCGTTTCTGAGCTAAGCTGCAGTTCTAAACCAGGACAGAAAATTAAATACACCGTGTACCTAACCCACTTAAAAACAGAAAAAAACAGGCTTCTTATTATCATGAGTTACTGAAAACATGACGTTACGAGGCTGGACAAAAACAACTGAATCAGGGGTGGAACTTTGTTCTGCAAAGGACCATATGGAATTTAATTTGATTTCAAAGTAATTTCTAATGACATGTTTTAACTGATAGAACCAGAAATAGATAAATAAAAAAAATAAAGATAGATTGTTAACATGTTTTTTAGGATCTGGTTTCACTTATTGACAAAGTTTGAACCAGTTTCTATTATTTTAATCAACCTTCATCCATCTATCCATCCAAACATCCATCCATTCATTTATCCAACCATCCATCATCCATCCAAACATCCATCATCCATCCAAACATCCATCATCCATCAAAACCCAAACATCAAACCATCCATCTATACAACCATCCATTTGTCCAATCATCCATTTATCCATCCATTTACCCATACAAACATCCATCCTTTCATTTATCCATCATCCATCCAAACATCCATCCATCCATCCATTTATCCAACCATCCATCATCCAACTATTCATTTATCCAACCATCCATCATCCATCCATCAATCCAAACATCCAACCATCCATCCATCTACCCATCCAAACATCCATCCATTCATTTATCCATCATCCATCCAAACATCCAAACATCCACCATCCACCATCCATCCATCCATCCACCATCCATCCAACCATCCATCATCCATCCAAACATCCATCCATTCATTTATCCAACCATCCATCATCAACTATTCATTTATCCAACCATCCATCATCCATCCATCAACCCAAACATCCACCATCCATCCATCTACCCATCCAAACATCCATCCATTCATTTATCCATCATCCATCCAAACATCCAACCATCCACCATCCATCCATCCATCCACCATCCATCCAACATTCATCATCCATCCAAACATCCATCCATCCATTTATCCAACCATCCATCATCCATCCAAACATCCATCCATTCATTTATCCAACCATCCATCATCCAACTATTCATTTATCCAACCATCCACCATCCATCCAACCATCCATCCATTCATTTATCCAACCATCTATCATCCATCCATTCATTTATCCAAACATCCATCATCCATCCATTCATTTGTCCAAGCATCCATCATCCATCCAACCATCCATCATCCATCCATCCACCCATCCAAACATCTACCCATTTATCCAACTATCCATCCATGCATGCATCCATCTAGTCATCTGTTCAGTCTCATCCATCCAACCAACCAACCAACTAACCAACATCCATCCATCCATCATCCATCCGTCCATCCATCCATCCAACCAGTCTTCATCCACTCATTATTTGTCTTTCAAAGGTTAAAAAAGGTTCAGCAGGTAAACCCACAAAACACTCCAAATAGGATCAAAGACAAGGAACACTTCTGATGGAGTACGATCTGCTGAGCATGAGGACAGCTCTGTTATACAGGATCAGATAACCCTTAAAGTCCAAACACCACAAAACACATTTGGACCGAGCAATGAAAGTTCTTTGATTCCCTTAGCAACTTTTCAATGGTGAAGATCAGGTCCACTGACTCAGAAAAAGACCACACTGCACTTCTTGAACCAGAGGCAGTAACGCATGAAACACTGGCCCTGGGGTCATGTCACAGTCACGTCACATCACTGTTGAAGCCCACATACAGTTAAAATGAAAACAAACATTTTAATCTGCTGGTGTCAATCTGATGGACATGTGTCTGTCTTCCATCTGCACCTCCAGTCAYTCTCAGCTTCATCAAAATTCTCCCCCTCCAAAATAAAAGACGCCTTTTGAAGCTGTCAGTAATTAGTGTTCTCACCAGCAGAACCATTCTTAACGGCCTTATTAAATGCCCGTCACATTTTGCAGCCATGACAGACGTCTTTTTGGCTGAAGGTGCTTCTCTGTTCGGCAGACTTCAAACCAGCCCCGCTGCTCATTAACAGGCTGCAGTCAGACGATACCGAAGCTCATCCTTTCTGGTTTGTGACAGAGTTTGATGATGGGAGTCTGTCACAGTGTTGTGGGGAGTGGGGGGGGAGGGGACAGGGTGGTGAGCTCGCTGTCAGTTCAGTAGTGGAGACATCAATGAGGCGTCAAACATCGTGGCACATCATCAGAAGATGTTGAGGAGCAGAACAGAGCAGTTGGAGAGCATGTAGTTCTATACGTTAGCTGGACCCCCAACATATCTTCTGTCTGTTTCCGATGAAAAGCCAAAAATAAAATAAAATAGAAATAGACCCACACCTCTCGTCTGCGTCTCACACTTTGTCTCCCCATCCCTTTTTTCCTCTTCTCTTCTCTTCTCTCTGTTACCAAGGAGAGGGGCTGACGTCGCCCACTCTCACTAGGAGGGAGGTGATGCAAAAAGCTCTTCAGTCTCCCCTCGCTCCCACTCATGATGGGCTTGGCACGAGAAGAAAGAGAAGCCAGAGCCGTGTAGGAAGAGGGAAGAGTAACCCTCCCCCCCTCCTCCCGATGTTTGAGATTTACAATGCAACATAAAAATCCAGGATTGCTTGGGGGGGCGCCCAGCACAGTGAGGGGAGGACGGTGGGGGGGGGGGGACTTTGGGGCTTTTGATGCCAGCTCTGTCTCAGGAAAATGGTAGCCTCAGTCAGTGCCAAATGTAGCACACTTCGGTTCTACGTGGTTGATTTCAGTGTGATGAAATTTGTTTGGCAGAATCAGTTAATATGGTTCTGACCTCAATAAACAGATTTTATTAAAGAAGCATGGAGTGTTGTTGGCTTTGGACTTGAAAGACAAATGGGGTTCTGTCTCAGGAGGGGTAAGACATGCAGGATCTCACTGATGGAACCCTGTACCATCAGGGTCCCCCAACCCATTACCAGAAGTGACCTAAGGTCACATTATCTCTAYATGACTCCTCCCATACATCTCTCCACATCATGGTACCAGGACTAAATCCAGTCTGTCTCTGTAGAACATTGACAGGACTGGTCCTCTTCCCTTTGAGCCATCCTATAGACCAAGGGTGGTCACTCATGGTCATTTCAAACTGGTCCTATTGAGGGTCAAGAAACAGCTAAACGTCTGAAGGGAGTTGCATATATGACAATGATAATCCTTCCTTGGTGTGATCCGTCTTGAGTGACCAGAACTTTTATGACCTTTATACCCTGGTGCTTTATGGTTCCAACATTGGGCCACAGTGACATCTGTAGCCCCACATGTCCAGCTTCAAACAAGTCTTCAGTGTCTCCAAGTCCATCTTCTATACTTATCCGTAGCCTAGTCATGGAGGTAACAGATCCAGGAGAGCAACTCAAACCTCCCGCTCACCTGCAACATTTTCCATCTCATCCTGGGAGACCCTGAGGCTTTCCCAGACCTGAGAGGACACATGATCCTTCCAGTTCGTCCTGGGTCTTTCTTGGGGCCTCCTACCAATGGGACATGCTCTATCACTCGGGCTGAACCCCAAGAAGGAGGTTCATTTTGGCCACTTGTATCCAGTATCTGGTTTTAATTATGATCCACACCTCATGACCACAAGTGACGGTTGGAACCTAGACGAACCAGTAAATCCAGAGCTTTGCCTTTCTTTGCCACAACCAAACAAAGCAATGCTTGAGGACACCATCACTCAGGAACAAGACACAAATAGTTAAACTCCTCCTCTTCAGGCAAAGACTTCCTGACCCGGATACTTACCATACTTTCCTGGTATAGTTTTATTGAGGGCCTACCCCCTATAAAACTCCATCAGGTTCTCATAATGATTCCTAATGTGACAACAGGGCGTCCTCTTCATCTGCTGACCTTCAATCACTGTTTTTATCGAGAACTGGACACCGTTTGGTCTTTAGAACAAAATAGTTAAAATATAACACCTTAGATCAGTTGTTTCCAGAGTTGTGGGAYTGAAACATCCATTGAGGGTCACAAATGATTTCCAAACACCGATTTAAATACAAATAAATGACTAAAAGAACATTTTTACCATGATTTTTGCAAAAATAAAACATACAGTAAGTCGTGTCATAGTATTTAGGTTTATTGTAAACCAGTAATACCTGGGGTCACAAGTTTCTGCAACGTTTATTTTTGTGGGCCAGAAGCTAAAAGGTTTGAAAACCACTGCTCTAGATGTTAACAGTTGCAGAAATTATACAGTAAGTGTTGTGAAATACTGAAGCATTAAGCAATGAGCCTGGAATATGATGTTAGTGTCTGTTGATAAAAACTAAAGTAAAACAACTAAGTGTACTGTCACCACGGCTTTTAAAGTTTCCAAATCCCAGAGGTAAAAATCTGATACTCTCCTGCTAACTTTCCTCATTTCTCTTTCTCTGCATCTGGTAACGCTTTCAAGACATCCAAGCTTGGAAAGAAAAAAACACACAAAAAAAGCAGCACTGGTTGTGTTCACTGATTGTTTTGGTCGTCCACCAAAGCTTCTCCCCTCTCCTTTGAGAGTCCCTCTCTGCAGTCTTTTCTCCTTGCCTCTCAGAAACTCCAGAATAAAAAAAACACAAGTCCCTGCTCTAAATCTAATTGTTGTCTTGCTGGTTGACCCCCCTCCTACAGCGAGAGTACTTCACATGAGATCAGACGGAAGAAAAATATTTGCTTCATCAATATTCCAGTCAGCTCACCGGAGGAGAAAAGACACTGTAGCGTTTCATTCACTTGTCCCCGGCGCTCCGTGTGGGTGGGATCGGCAACCTGTGGGACACCGCCGGTGGCCCCGAAAGTGAGCCTCCCACCCACCTGGTCGATCAGTGAACGCACGTTTTGTTTCACCTTTTTGTTTTAGCTTCAAAGCCCCCTGCTCGGTGTCTGCAGGGAGAAAGCCTCTCCCAGCGAGAGGGCCTCCTTTTTGGGCTTCGGTTCGCCACCGCCGCTCACACACACACACACACACACACACACACACACACACACACACACACACACACACACACACACACACACACACAGAGATGAGTAAACAGCCTGTTGCTGCCGAAGAAGAAAACAGCAGTGTTGCTAAGGGAGTCCATTTATTTTTACCCAGCCACTCTTCACCCGCTATTTATGAAGTTCCACTTCATTTACCTGTGATTATTCTTTTGTTAACAAAGAGAAGCATTCTCAGGAAAACAAAAGAAAAATCAGTGCGAGTTACACGATTGGTCTGCGCCACATTTATCCCCTCCCCGACCCCCCAACACCCCCGTCTAACGACTGCATGAAGGAGATCTAATTTTAATCACTTTTTATTCTGGAGAGACAAAGAATCGGCTCATCGACGGGCGACCAATCAGCTGCTGTTAACGCTTTTAAACACACTCGTTTTGTTTCAGCCCATATTTCAGATTGTGTCAAAGAAACGGGACAAAATGGCTCCAACCCAGTCCACTTTTATAGATGCTAAAAACTGGTGTGGTTGTAACTGAGACCCATCCCCAAGATGTACTCCGAACGCTGACTTAGCACTAATATGGCTGTTGGTGTGGGACAGGTCTGGTAATAATGGCACTGCTTTTAAGATTGCATGCCACACTGGCCTGGTTGTGTTTTGATTTATGTGGCCCAAATCTGTCAAGCCACAACTGGCCCGGTTGTGGTTAGGTTTATGTGGCCCAAACCTGTCAGTGCCACAACTGGCTCAGTTTTTTTTTTTGTTTTGTTTACGTGGATGACATCTGTCAATGCCACAACTGGCCCACTTGTGGTTTGGTTTATGTGGCCCAAATCTGTCAGTGCCACAACTGGTCCAGTTGTTTTTTTTTTTTTTTTGGTTTACGTGGATGAAATCTGTCAGTGCCACAACTGGTCCAGTTGTTTTTTTTGGTTTACGTGGATGAAATCTGTCAGTGCCACAACTNTTTTTTTGGTTTACGTGGATGAAATCTGTCAGTGCCACAACTGGTCCAGTTGTTTTTTTGGTTTACGTGGATGAAATCTGTCAATGCCACAACAGGCCCAGTTGTGGTTTGATTTATGCGGCCCAAGTGTGTCAGTGCCACAACTGGTCCCATTTCTTTGTTTGTTTGTTTATGTAGCTCAAATCTGTCAAGCCACAACTGGCCTGGTTGTGGTTTGGTTTTTGTGATGTTGGCCCATGCTTGAACCACCTCTGGGCCATCACAGGGTCATCATTCTTTGCTGTATTTGCACAGTGTTGAGTGTTAGTGCCTTGTGTGGGCCAGAACGGAGCCAGACAAATTTTGCTGTGTGGGAATGAGCAGCCAGTTGTTTCTAAAACTAGAACCAAAATTCCAACATGGTGCTTCAACATTAGTAATTTAGACGATGGTAGCACGATCCATTTTCTTCTCATTGTCCATCTTCATCCATTGGTTTTGATTCCAAAGCAAACATATTTTAGACATCATGTCACCAACACAATATGAGAAAATGTTCTTTATTGGCAAATTAAAACAAGTCTAATCTCTAAAACCAGTCCTGTGACCAAAGACATTGGTTGGATTGTTGGTCAAGAACCAATAATTTTCATCTTTTTGTTTATTTTGAGTAAAAGTATCTGCAGGTCTAACGTTTCTCTCTCCTCCTCTTCCTCAGGGACGTCATCAAGAGAATAGACCAGTCAGAGTTTGAGGGTTTTGAGTACATCAACCCTCTGCTGATGTCTACAGAGGAGTCCGTATGAAGACTGACCTTCCGCCTGTCCAAGCTGCCAAAATAAWAACAGAAGCCAACTCTGGAAGACGAGGAGGACGAACTGCACCGGTCACGAAACAGACGTAGGACGAAGAGTTGGACTGTTGAATTCTCAGACTCTCCTTACTTGAAGCGAAGGAGAGAAACCGAAACACTGGACTGCGAGAACATTCCCCGCTTTTATAGTTTCTTTTCCTTTTTTTTTCTCCTTTGGATTATTTCCTCATTTCCCGCAGAGCGTCCACCTCCACGTCTCATTCTGTGCCTGCCGTCATGAAAACACTTCGACCCGTCTCACGTCTGCGGAGTTCTGCCGGAGAACCTGAAACGATTTTAATCTGCACTTTTTTTTTTCATTTTGTTTTTTTTTAATCTTGTAGAAGAGACGACGACTCGGACAAAACAAGAATGTACAAACAAAAGAAAAAAATATTAAGTTATTGTGTAATATAATGTAGGTAGTGAATCTAAAATCAACGATGCCTTTCTATTGATGCAAGTGGCACATTTTCATTGATAGTTTTTTTATTGTCATTTACGACTTTCTCCAAACAAAACGCGGGAAACAAGATGGATTTTATTTAAGAAGTGCCTCAAAGATCAAATTAATTCCTGATTGCACTGATTGGACTTTTTTCACCTGTCGGAAGGTGGAACCGATCAAAACAAGGCCCAGGTCTGACGAAACAACAGTTTCAGACTTTATCAGTCCCCAAATCACACGTCCCGTTGTTTTACTGATCAGTGTTGGTCGTTGTCCACAAATCCACCCGAGCAGCAGCAGAAAAACAAAAAGAAAACGGTAAAGTTTCTTTAAAACGAAGGCGACCAACCATTAAAGACGAGGATTTAAAATAAAATAATTAATTWAAAAAAAAACAGTCACTCTGCTGGTTTTTGTTTCTAGTTTTTGCTGGTTCAGAGCGTGACTGCGTGATCCGTCCATAGCTTCAAAAACTGTTGAAAACTCCGCCCCCTAAACAGGAGCTTCTCCTTTCAGGGGTTCCAAAGTAAAGGTCCGGACAGGAAGTGGGGTCCTTGAGACATTTCCTTTGTCAAAACATGCAGCTTGACTGGAAATTGAGACTTTTGGCAGAGGTTAAATTTTACATTGTAAACAAAGTTTAACAAAAAAAGAGAAATTTCTTTATAATMAACTGAATTTTGGTCTTTTCCAATTTTCCATTTTTGTCATTTAGAGCGATTTTAAAAGAAAAAAAATTGTGCATCATCTTCCAACCGTTTCCCTGAGATGCTTCCACTGACGACACTGAGATCAAAGTGTCAGTTTTAGTGGTAAATCAATTAAATCAGGTCCACCTGGTCGGTCGCTCGTTAACACCAACAGCTGATCGGCCAATCACGTGGCAGCAATCGTGTTCAGAAAATGACATCATCAAAACATCTGACGTTGTGGGTTTCACCATGTTGGGTTTTTGGAACCGGAGTCTGAGCACTGGGGCGGAGCCTCAATACGAAAGTCCCGCCTCCACAAACATTCACCATTGAGCTGTCAATCACAGTGAAATATGACCCTCCTCTTTATTTATCCATCAGCTTTACCTGCTTCCTTCCTTTCTGGGTCGCAAAGGTCTCTGTGTGAGAGGCGGGTCCATCAAGTCCATCACAGAGACACACAGACACACAACCCGTCACACTTATAACTCGTAACTCTRAATTGTCCCTAATGTGCATGTTTTTGGTCTGTGCAAGAAAACCAGAGTGTCCGGAGAGAACCCACTGATGCATGGATGAGGCGGGCAGGCTCCACCCAGGGAGGTCCCCGGTCGGGATTCGGTCCGGCAACCTTTCTCGCCAAAAGTGACAGTGTTACCAACTGAGCCGATAGTTTTCTTCAAGCCTCTAATAATTAATTGTAACTTAATATATTTTTTCAGGATCTGACTCTGGGTTTCCACTGGGTGCTCTGGTTTCCCCCCACAGACTAAAAACATGCTAATAGGTTCACCGGCCATTAAATCATCCTTAGATGTGACTGAGTGGTTTTTAGTCTCTACTGTGCTGGACTTGGTCTCCAGGGTGTCCCTCGTCTCAGAAACCCAGAAAGAAAAAAAAGAGTAAAAATAAAAGGACGGAGCGTTTACGTCGAGAGGCAGAGCTTAAATCCAAACTTGTGGGTTAAAAGTGAAAAACTGTTAGCTGCCAAATATTCTCTAAATTCAACATAATTTATTCCCAATAATCTGCAGAACAAGGTGAGTTTTAACATTAAAGGAAAACACAGATTTTTCTGCTGCTGCGTTTTATTTTTTTATTTCACTTTTTTTTTCAGAATAAAAGAATCAGTGGCATTTTATTTTCCTGAAGGGACCAATGAATGAAGAAACTGAAAGTCCTTGAAAACGAACTGCAGAGAATCAAACCATTCAAACATTTTAAGGAATGATAATTACATAAAATACATGAATTTTGTTTTGTTTTTAGTTTTTAAC